AAAAAAAACAAGGGTTAAGGAAGGCCAGTACCTCCCTAAAAACTTAATAGGATAAAAATACACTTTTTTAAATAAATGAGATAGAAGTACATCTGCTAAAAAAAAGTCATAAAAACCCTTTTACCCCTACCATAAATAGTGCATACCTATTTGAATGTGAACTTTCAAGATTTCTTTTAATATTTGTGTATCATTTAAATTTTAAAATTTTATATATATATATACACACACACACACATATATATATATGTATATATATATCATAATATTAAATAGTAACACGCTCAACAAAAAAAATAGTAACATCAAACAATAATACACTCAACAAAAAAATAGTAATATCAAATAGTAACACGCTCAACAAAAAAAAAAAATATATATATATATATATATATGTTTGTGTGTGTGTGTGTGTGTGTATGNTACAAAGTTTTAAATATCAACATTCCACAAACCATATGAATAAGTAATGAAAATTTTTCGTAATTAAATACATGTACAAGATAATAAGTAAAACATTTATAAAAATCTCTGAACACTTCATTATTAGAATTATACAAAGTATAAATTAAATGTTTATATATTTAAAGTCAAACCATCGTAGCAAATATCATGCATGCCTCGTATACGGACAATATAATCAATCATACTGATTCATGCATGAACCATCCCCAAGAAACCTTTTCGGTCTTGCACCCTAGGGTCTCATCGCCCTTCTTGCTTTTCAAGAGGAACGTGTAANAAGTCATAAAAACCCTTTTACCCCTACCATAAATAGTGCATACCTATTTGAATGTGAGACTTTCAAGATTTCTTTTGATATTTGTGTATCATTTAAATTTTAAAATTTTATATATATATATACACACACACACACATATATATATATGTATATATATATCATAATATTAAATAGTAACACGCTCAACAAAAAAAATAGTAACATCAAACAATAATACACTCAACAAAAAAATAGTAATATCAAATAGTAACACGCTCAACAAAAAAAAAAAATATATATATATATATATATATGTTTGTGTGTGTGTGTGTGTGTGTATGTATATAATAATATCAAACAGTAACACGCTCAACAAAAAAATAGGAACATCAAATAGTAACACGCTTAGTAAAAAATTAGTAACATCAAATAATAACACACTCAACACAAAAATAGTAACATCAAACAATAACATACTCAATAAAAAACTTAGTTAAATTTTTTTGTTGAGCGTGTTAGTGTTTGATATTACTATGTGTTTGTGTGTGTGTGTGTATATATATATATAAAGAAATTTTGAAAGTCTTACATTCGNACACACTCAACACAAAAATAGTAACATCAAACAATAACATACTCAATAAAAAACTTAATTAAATTTTTTTGTTGAGCGTGTTAGTGTTTGATATTACTATGTGTTTGTGTGTGTGTGTGTGTATATATATATATATATATCAAAAGAAATTTTGAAAGTCTTACATTCGAATATTTAGATATTAAAAATATAAAAANCACTACCATAACCAATCCCCCTTAGGACTAGTAGCCGCCTTGACAATCCACTCAATAAGCCCCAACCGTCTACTAACTCTCTGTCTGTCAGAATCGAGCATACATTTTCCAAAAATAATTATTTTCTATATTCATAAATCCTTTTGAAAATACATGTCATAAACCTTGACATTTTATCAAACATGTATTAGGCTCAAATCTCAAAAGTTACATTTTCAAAGCAACACAACCATTTTCAAGAGAATAATTCGTATATATTATGTACAAAATAATAGCATACTTCAAAACCCCCAAATCATAGATTTAATCAAATACCAATAAATAAAATCAAACTAGGGCATTTCCATTTCCAAGATAATAAGTCATATTATGTATAAAATCATAACATACTTCAAAACCCCCAAATCATAAGTTTAATCAAATACTCATAACTAAAATCAAACAAGGGTTTCAAACTCATAACACTAATATCATTTTCATTTCCAAGAGAATAACTCATATTATGTACAAGATCATAACATACTTCAAAACCTCCCAAATCATAAGTTTAATCAAATACTTATAGCTAAAATCAAACAAGGGTTTCAAACCCATAACACTAAAATCATTTTTGTGCATGTGAGTTCACAATTCATGGCATACTCAATACTAAATCAAGGTTTATAATAAGTATTTTTCCATCAAACACATAGTAAATTTTAGCTAAAGAAAATACATGAAATGCAAAATGTAAATGCAAGAGAGAGGAAAACCCCACCTAGAAATCAAGAATTCCAAGCAAGTTCCTAGATTTCCAAGCTTTACCCAAGCTTTAGAGACATTTTTCTTCCCTTTTCTCTTTCCCTTTATCTTCTCATAGGGTTCTAAGAGGTATTGGGTGAGAGTGGAATGAAAGAATGGAAGAAAAGGGGCTGAAATCTGGGTTTTAAACCCAGCAGTTCTAAAATTTATTGTTCATGGGCTGAAATTTGAGTTTTCTCAAAAATTATGGTTTTACCACTAAAAATCTTCAATTTGATCCATATGACTACCCTAAGGTTTTTCGACGTTTCGAATTTTTTTTAATGTTATTTTAACCTAAAAATATTTAATTTTATGATTTATCTCAAAACTAAAGTAAATTTACACTCGAAACACTAAAATTACTATTTTATCCCTCCGAACGCTAAATGTGTTAAATGACTATTCCAAGTTTTTTGGACCTCCCGGATTCAATGGTAATATTATTTTGACTTAAAAACATTAATACATTTGCATAGTTACCCTTATCAACCTTACACTCTTCCAAAAATTAAATTTGATCCAAAAGTCAACACATTCGTGCTTCAAACTTACGCGATTATTCGTTTAACAACAATTCAAAATTTCTCTCATCATTTTAATAATTTTGAAAATATTAACATGTTAATATAATTTATATTTAAATGAAACACGGGATCTCACAAAAATACACTTAAAGCCAGATAAGTTTTTCTTTAATGTACTTTAGCTCAATTAAGTCTAAACTTTTGTAGTGCTTCCAAATTCTCTAAAAAAAACAAGGGTTAAGGAAGGCCAGTACCTCCCTAAAAACTTAATAGGATAAAAATACACTTTTTTAAATAAATGAGATAGAAGTACATCTGCTAAAAAAAAGTCATAAAAACCCTTTTACCCCTACCATAAATAGTGCATACCTATTTGAATGTGAACTTTCAAGATTTCTTTTAATATTTGTGTATCATTTAAATTTTAAAATTTTATATATATATATACACACACACACACATATATATATATGTATATATATATCATAATATTAAATAGTAACACGCTCAACAAAAAAAATAGTAACATCAAACAATAATACACTCAACAAAAAAATAGTAATATCAAATAGTAACACGCTCAACAAAAAAAAAAAATATATATATATATATATATATGTTTGTGTGTGTGTGTGTGTGTGTATGTATATAATAATATCAAACAGTAACACGCTCAACAAAAAAATAGGAACATCAAATAGTAACACGCTTAGTAAAAAATTAGTAACATCAAATAATAACACACTCAACACAAAAATAGTAACATCAAACAATAACATACTCAATAAAAAACTTAATTAAATTTTTTTGTTGAGCGTGTTAGTGTTTGATATTACTATGTGTTTGTGTGTGTGTGTGTGTATATATATATATATATATCAAAAGAAATTTTGAAAGTCTTACATTCGAATATTTAGATATTAAAAATATAAAAATTGTCAATTAGGTATGCACTATTTATGGTAGAGATAATTATGGAATACATTTTAGAAAGAATTTGAAAATATTTTAAAATGTGTGCTTTATTGACAACTATTTGATGAAAAAGAGGTATTAAAGAAGGATAAGTTTGGAGGTGATACTTAAAACAGAATACTCTATTCGTTCCTAAATAACTGTCGTTTAAGGTTTTTGCACAAGGATTAAGGGAGCTATTCAATAACTCTAATATGAGTAAAAAATAATTACACAAGAGTAAAATATCTTTATTCAATACGTATTAAGAAGGAAAGAAATATGAAAGACATTTATNTTTGATGAAAAAGAGGTATTAAAGAAGGATAAGTTTGGAGGTGATACTTAAAACAGAATACTCTATTCGTTCCTAAATAACTGTCGTTTAAGATTTTTGCACAAGGATTAAAGGAGCTATTCAATAACTCTAATATGAGTAAAAAATAATTACACAAGAGTAAAATATTTTTATTCAATACGTATTAAGAAGGAAAGAAATATGAAAGACACTTATCCTCAACCTAATCTAATACATTGAAAAGTTTAAGGTAAATTTGAAAGAAAAAATATTAATTATGCATTGGTTTCATTAAACGACGGATATTATGAAATNATTCAATACGTATTAAGAAGGAAAGAAATATGAAAGACATTTATCCTCCACCTAATCTAATGCATTGAAAAGTTAAAGGTAAATTTGAAAGAAAAAATATTAATTATGCATTGGTTTTATTAAACGACGGATATTATGAAACAAAAAAAAATTGTGTAAGACAACATATATATTGAAACGGAGAGAATAAATTTTTAAAAAAGTACTCATATCCTATTATCTCAAAAAACAAGAAAAAAAAATGTTAGCCTGCTATATATGGGCCCAGTTCCCAGCCCATAGCAACAGAATTGGATTCACTTTCACACTTCACGACTGTTATCTAAGACAACTGTTGCAGGCTTCATTCTCATATCAACACCCCCC